AGACAGAGTCTCACTTTGTTGCCCAAGCTAGAGTGAGTGCTGTGGCGTCAGCCTAGCTCACAGTACCTCAAACTCCTGGGCAAGCAATCCTTCTGCCTCAGCCTCCCAAGTGCTGGGACTACAGGCACACACCACGTGCCTGGCTAATTTTTTCTATTTTTAGTTGTTTGGCTAATTCTTTCTATTTATAGTAGAGACGGGTTTGTCCCTGCGCAGGCTGGTCTTGAGCTCAAGCAATCCTCCTGCCTTGGCCTCCAGAATGCTAGATTACAGTGTTGAGCCACTATGCCTGGCTTTTTTCCACTTTTTAAAAACGCTGAAATAATTTCAATCTGCAAAAATTCAAGTACGGTACAAAGGCCTTTATTTTTTCTGAACTGTTTGAGAGTAAGATGCCAACACAGTACCCAATGACACTGAATTTTCAGTGTTTAATTCCTACAAAACATTTTCCTACTAACCTCAAAACAATTATCCAAATTAGAAAATTATTAATAACACCGATATATACCACCAGCTAATCATCAGCTGCCACTCCATTTCATCAATTGTCCAATAAGCCTTTGCAACAAATAGATCTAATTAGAATCATGTGGCGTATTTTATTTCATGTTTTTGTTGCCTCAATCTGGATCATTTCCTCAGTTGTTTTTTTCTTGACTTATGACCTTGACAACCATTGAAGACCACAGACTGGTTATGTTTTAGAATATCCTAAGGTTTTTCTGGTGTTCTCTTGATTTGATTAAGTTATGTGTCTTTGGCAGGAATACACAAGAAGTGATTTTCTCATTGCACCCTTTTAGTGGCATGAAGTTTTGTTTCTCCACTACTGATGATGTGTACTTGGATCACTGATGTAAGTTGATGTCTGCAGCTGTCTCCAACATCAAGTATTTGGGGGGGTACTTTGAGACTATTCTGATTTTCCTTTATTTATTTAGTATGCCAATATGGACTCTTAGCTTCTGGTTTTAAATTTAATTTAATTATTTTTTAAAGGCTTGTCAAGTGAAGCAGTGGGAGTGGAAAGGAAAAGGATTGTAACTGATTGTGATCAATTAGTTGTAAACACCACTGCACTTGGACCAACCACGGCTTCTGTTTTATTTTAAATAATAATGAGTTATTCATTTATCATTATTTTTGATGTTCATATTGTCACTGATATGGCAAGTGAGCCCTTTAAAGCTGGCTTTTTGTATCATTTTTGACATTTCCATTATTCTTTGAGCACTTTCTTGTTTGCTGACACAAGATATTCTTTTTTTTTTTTTTTCTGGCACAAGATAGTCTAAGGCTCACTTTGTTCTTTCCTTGCTTCCAGAAATGGAATAGACATTTCTCCGTGGGACCCTGATTCCTCAAAGTGTATAAGTTTTTTTTTTTTCCTTTTGGCCATGCCAATCTTTTCTGTATCGTTCTATTTAATATATGTGCCACCAAAGCGAGCACATGTATAATAGGCTTTTTTTTCTTTTGGCAAGTAATCTTTTCTTGTATCGTTCTAAGTTTAGTTTATGTGCCATCAAAGCAAGCACAGTGATCATAGTCTTTTTTAAATTTTGGCCAAGCTAGTCTTTTCTGTATCGTTCTAAGTTTGTATATGTGCCATCAAAGCGAGCACATGATAAGTTTTTTTTTTTTTTTTTGACACAGAAGCTCACGTTTTGCCTGAGCTAGAGTGCCAGCGTCAGCCTAGCTCACAGCAACCTCAAACTCCTGGACTCAAGCATCCTCCTGCCTCAACCTCCCGAGTAGCTGGGACTAACAGGCACGTGCCACCATGCCCAGTATTTTTTTTTTCTATTTTAGTTTATTGGCTAATTTCTTTCTATATAGTAGAGATGGAGTCCCAGTCTTGCTCAGGCTGGTCTCGAACTCCTGAGCTCAAGCAATCTGCCTGCCTCGGCCTCCCAGAGTGCTAGGTTACAGGAGTGAGCCACTGCGCCCAGCCTATAATAGTCTTTTAAAAGCAAGATCTAGGGTGTCACGGTTCCCAGGCCAGACAGAGCTAAGAAGATACATTATTTATGCTATATTAACTCTACATCTACTTTACTGAAAATCATGAGTTTATAGCAATAAGCTTCAATTCCAATCCCACATCAGGTTCATTGTAGTTTTTCTTTTCCATGTTTAACTTCCTTCTCCTAACAGTGAGAAACTTGGCATCCTTTTACTTAGTATCCTTAAAATATATCTTTAGTACATTTATGTATTTGATGGCTTGCTTGTAAGTAATCAATCTCCCATCACTGCATGTAATAGATGCCCTCCACTCAGGCTCTGAGACCAAGTGGGTCCCCTCTACTCCTGGTGCCCTCTTTATCATGTTACATCTCTGACACACCAGGCTGAGCCACTGTCCTGTTGGAAGGAGGCAGACTAGATCATTTCTGTATTCCAAACACCTAGAACAGTGACTAGAACATGGTACATGCTCACACAAAATATCAATTGATGGAACGAATCTTTGCTGATTATTTAGTACATTCTCTCCATGCTGAACGTTCTAAGGCTTTTCTTACTCTTGAAGGCCACATGTACCAGTACAGCAGCTTCTGGGATTCCAAGCCATGTCTTGTCCATATAAATGTAGCACAAAGAGCAGCCATTGGAGGGCAGCAGAGGGCCACTACACAAGTGCAGCCTTAGGCTTCCAGATCCTTGGACCATTCTAATGTGAATAAACTCGGAAAGAATAGGAGTTTATTCATAGCAGGATACCCTGAGGTGACAAGAAGTGGGTCAAGGTAGGGAGAGAGACTTGAAGAGTGATAGTTGAGAAGCAGAGATGGAACGTCTAAGAAGTTCCAGGAGAGCCCAAAGACACAGGCTGACTGAAGAAACTGCCAAAGATTAGCAAAAGTCGATTGCAGAGGGAAAGCAATGTTTCTTGGAGGTTTTGTTTCAGTGTTTTATTTTTATATTTTTTTTTAGAGATGGGTCTCGCTCTGTCACCCAGGCTGGAATGCAGTGGCACTATCATAGCTCACTGCAGCATCAAATCCTGGGCTCAAGCAATCCTCCAGCCTCAGCCTCTGGAAGCTAGGATAACATATTTTGGAAATATAATTAAGCTCCCAAACCAAACTTCTACTCTTATTCTGGGAACAGAATAATAATCAATGTTTGATCATTTTCAAAAGAAACTCAATTCCTATGTTGCTTGAAATGCATAATGACATCCATATGACAAATGAGCTCTTCATGTGGGGCTAATTGTAACTAAGCCTCAGTACAGTTTTGCACTTCCATTTAGAGAAATCATTTTAAACGTATTTTCTCAAAAGTCGCTAAATAGGGCCAGGCAATGGCTCACACTGTAATCCCAGCACTTTGGGAGGGTGAGGTGGGAGATCACTGAGGCCAAGTGTTCGAGACCAGCCTGGGCATCATAGTGAGACGTCGTCTCTAAAATATTTAAAGATTAGGGAGGCATAGTACTTCCAGCTAATCAGGAGGGGAGCAGGAGGCTCGATTAGTCCAGGAGTTGGAGGATGCAGTAAGCTTTGATTGCATCACTGTAGTCTGGCCTGGCAATATAGTGAGATCCTGTCTCTTTAAAAAAAAAAAACTTGCTACATGGAAAAAAATACATCAGTAGTGACTTTCTACCTTTGCTTATATTTTATATTTACCCCATGCTTTTAAAATTAGGCTTATATTGCTCCTTCCTGATTGTACCATTTAAGGATATTGAGTTCCTACTATGGAATTAAAGATTAAGCTCTAGTTCCTCCTCCGCATCCCATCACACATGGTACCCTTCTACCAAAGCCCATTTTTCCAAATGTATTTTTTTTTTAGATGAATACACAGTATTTGTTGCCATAATACAATTACTTTCTTTCTTATACAAGATTTTTTCTTATACAAGATTTTGTTTTTCCTAGAGTTAATAGCTATATGATTCTTAAATCTGATCAGTTTTCTGTGTGTCTGTCATCAGTGCAACTCCCAACGTCTACTTCTGATTTATAACTCTCCTCTGAAGGCTTCATTAGCAGCTGGACTTTTGTCAATTCCATCCTTCTGAAGGAGTATCTCTCAAAGACTTCTGACTAATATAATTGGAGGGTTACTGTCTCTGCCTGTACAGAGTTGCCATAGCTGTCATCCTGGGGTCTTCCTTTTTGGTATCATCTTGGGATTCTATTTTTTCCGTGTTTGATATTTTGTGTTCCTGTATTTCATCTTTCCTCCTTCTTGGCTTATTCCTTATTTTGGTGGATCACATCTGCAGATCTTCCTGGAGATCCTGAGAAAAGGGAGCATGATAGGTACTTCTTTTGTTTTTAGAATTAGCATGTCTGAAAATGCCTTTATTCTATTCACAAACTTGATTGTAGTTGGCTGAGTACTAAAGAAAATTGGAAGTATTTTCTCTAGAATTTTGAAGGTAGTACTTATACTGCTATCTAGATTCCATATTGCAGTTGAGGCAACTTGAAGCCATTCTGATTCCAGAGTCTTTAAACCTGGAAGTGTGTGGGGTCTTCTCTTTATCGTCCATGTTTAGAAAATTCACAATGACACGCCTCGACGTGAATGTTTCTATTTGTGCTGAGTGCCTAGTAGGCTCTTTCAGTGTGGAAATCATATCCTAAATTCTAGAAAGCTTTCTGAAATCACTTACTGACCATTTCCTTTCCTCCAACTTCTTTGTTCCCCGAACTCCTACTATACCGGTCCTCCAACGGCGCAGCAGCGGCCAGGCGCTTGCGCAGTGTGCGCCCCCCCCCCCTGCTAGCCTGTCGCGCCTGCGCACAGCGTGGGCGTCACCGTCGCCCCTCCTCCCGCAGCGCTTTCCACTGACGCCGGGCTGAATGGCCTTCCGGAACGCTGCGAGCCCGGTGACTCGCCTCCTTGGGCCCGAAACCTCCGCCTGGGCTCGCGCGGGAGGAGCGGCTCTCAGGGGAGCGGCGACCGCGCCGGCCCGGTCTCTTCCCTGGCGGCGGTGGCGGCTTCTTCCGTGGGACAATATGTTCAAAATGGGGGCCGAATTTGGGCCTGACTCCGGCGGGAGAGTGAAGGTCAGTGCCCGGCCGCGCTCCCTTCTTGGGCGGCCTCTCCGGCCCGGCTCCTCCCTGTGCGGCGTGGGGAGGGCCGTTTGGTTTCTTTGGCGCCTTTTCTCTTCGCTTTTGAACCGCGGTTTCATGGCGGAGAGCGAGTCAGGGATACCGAGCGAAAAGTCAGTGTTCACTGGGCTTCGGCTGCACCGCGTTACTGCCACCTCCCGTCCCGCCGAAAGACAAACTTCAAGCCGCGGTGGCGAGGGGAGACCACGCGGCTGCCGCGGAACTGGCCGCTCCGAGGGCTAGGAAATCTTGGCATGGTGCACATTAACTGCCAGCCGAGGTCATCGGTTAACCGGGATGCCACCATCTGGATCTCTCTCGAGAAGGGAAGAGCAAATGAGGAGGTTGGCAGACTCCTGTGTCAAAGTCCTCCTTTTTGCATTTCTTTTAACAAAACTTTCAAAGTGCTTCATGTGGTGATTTAAGTAAAATCATTTTCAAAGTGGGAACATTCAGTTATTTCTGTTAATATGAAATGAGAATAAGTATCTAAAATTGATTTGAGAGAAATCCATGTCATAAACAAACTCTAAATTGTTAGACTGCCATTCCTTGAAACAAGTTTTCAGAGCCTTCATTTTGTTTATTTTAGGTAATGGTACAATGTTTATTGTTTTTAAATTATTTTTCTTTTAGGGGGTTACTATCGTTAAACCAATAGTTTATGGTAATGTTGCTCGATATTTTGGAAAGAAAAGAGAAGAAGATGGGCATACCCATCAGTGGACAGTATATGTAAAACCATATAGAAATGAGGTAGGCACTTGTTTTTTTCTTAGAACTTTTTGAACCTTCAGTTTGTTTTGCTTGAAAATAAATTGTGATAATTCTTTTGTAGTAACTTTCTGATTATAAAACTGACCCATTGTAGAACTGTTAACAAAAAATTTTTGAAAAAATAAAGTGCAAACTGTCACCTTCCTATAATTATTAGTAGAAATCACTTTTCCAAAAATATTTTCTAATTAAAATTAAGATAACAAGAACTATCATGCTATAAACACGGTACAAGTATGCCTTCTAATGTCACATCTTAAGTTAACATAGTATTTAATCAGGTTTCTCAGAACAGCTAATACTTGAATGCAGCAAGTACATAGGTATTTAACAGATGTTTATTGTATAAAAAATTGCTCTATTTAAACCCTTCAGAGTCCACATAGAAACTTGTATATGAATGTTCATAGCAGCACTATTCCTAGTAGCCAAAAAATGGAAATAACCCAAATGTCTCATCAACTGATGAATGGATAAATAAATGTGGTATATCCATACAATTGCATATTATTATGCAATAAAAAGAAAGTACTGATACCTGCCACCACATGGATGAATTTGGAAGCATTATGCTAAGTGAAAGAAGCTAGGTTTGGCCGGGGGATAAGAACTAGCTGAATACTTGACCATGCCATTATATAAAGACACAAACGCCCCTATAAATAGCTTAATCACTATAAAGATAATTTAAATCACTGAGTATTTCTTCAACATAAATGCTGACAATTAAATGCCTCAATAAATAATAAAGACAATTAAGTTAGTTTTAGACCATCCTAAATATGAAAACTAGAAAAGAAATACACATGAGCATAGTTATATAAGTGATTTTATAAGAACAATCAATCTAATCCCAATAATCAAGAGAATTTTTATGGAAATTAGTAGGTATTTTCTAAAAAGCATGAATTATATTATGATAAAGAACAGACACTACAAACATATGGAATACTGGTTTTAAAGTTATAATTACATAAAAAAACAGAGTAAGTACAGACCGATTTACCTGAGAGAGATGAAGGAAGACGAAATCAACATAGACTGCATTCATACACTGAAATAAAATTTATAAATTATGAACCGACATATCACCTATAAAATAACTTCATGAAACTTAAAACAAGACTGAGATATAGAACATATTACTAAATTAATATAATCTGCGACTAGATAAAATAGCGTTAGGAGCAGTATAATCAGCAGCACTCATACTAAAACCCTCCATCACGTCCCAAATGTCCTTGTTTGCAAGTCCTATTTTTATGTATCCCCATAGACGAATAATCTAAATCAATTTTGATTTTCCATAAAAACAATACATTTCTGGTATTTTATAAACATAACCATATAAACCAAAGCAAATCTATGATCACCTTCAAAGAACAAAATAATATTACATAAAGCTAAGGACAACTAATCTAAAGCAACCTAAAACTGTTGAGTACAAAAATTCCCCTTTAATTTTATTTTGAAGCACATTCATTAGTTCTAACACATAAAAGGGCTTCTGCTGGTGAAGGTGCTTTTGAAAAAAAAAACATAGTTCACTATAGAAAAAGAAAACATGCAAAACAGAATAAGTCACACTCGATAATAATGTTTATTAACCTTTTTATTTGCTTTCAGGAATGTTTTATGTGCTTATATTTTCATACATTTAATTTTTAAAAAATAAAACTGGGATCATACTGTCATGATATCTTAATACCTTGCTTTGTCACTGTTATACTATATTGTGAGGATATAAGTCCATAGGAAGGAAACTAATTTAAATGTCTTTCGGAGGTCGAGAAAGTAGTTTCAAAGAAAACTGACACTTGAACTAAGACCAAAAGGATCAATGAGAAAAAGTGGGTGGGAAGGAATGAGTGGAGCAGTTTAAGAGTGTTCTTTTGGAAACTGAGACTATTTTAGTATTGGCAGAATGCAGGGTATGAGGAAACGAGGCACAGACAAGAGATAAGGCTGCAAAGTAAGGAAAGATCAGGGCAGGCTTTCTAAAACATAATAAAGAATTTGAACTTCATCATGAGGGCAATAGGTAGTCATTGAAGATTTTATAATAGCTTTATTGAGATATAATCACATCCTCTACAATTACCTAAAGTGTACAATTTAATGATTTTTTAATATATTCACAGAGTTGTACAACCATTCCACAATCAATTTTAGAACATTTTTATCAAAAACAAAAGAAACTCCATACCCATTAAGCACTCACTTCCTATTCCTCTCCTCCCACCCACTGGAAACCACTAATATATTTTCTGTGTCTATACATTTGCCTATTCTGGCCATTTCACATAAATGGAATCATACACTATGTGGCCTTGTGTATCTAGCTTCTTTTTTTTTTTTTTTTTTTTAGACAGAGTCTCGCTTTGTTGCACAGGCTAGAGTGAGTGCCATGGCATCAGCCTAGCTCACAGCAACCTCAAACTCCTGGGCTCAAGCAATCCTGCTGCCTCAACCTCCCGAGTAGCTGGGACTACAGGCATGCGCCACCACGCCGGCTAATTTTTATATATATATATTAGTTGGCCAATTAATTTCTTTCTATTTATAGTAGAGACAGGGTCTTGCTCTTGCTCAGGCTGGTTTCGAACTCCTGACCTCTAGCAATCGCCGCCTTGGCCTCCCAGAGTGCTAGGATTACAGGCTTGAGCCACCG